TTTTGGAATGTTGAATCTTGTCCAACTTGGAAAACAATCTCGTGTTTCATTTCCTAAGATTGTCAATAATAAAGTTTGGCTTGTTTGATATTGTTCAATGTCAAGACTTTGGGTCCTATGTCGTGTTAGTACAATATCTGGGATTTAATTATTTTGTTACATTTTATTGATGACTATTCTCGTTGTACATGGATGTTTCCTAATGAAAAGTCGTTCTGACTAATTCTCTATCTTTCAAAAACTCTGTGCGCTGAAATTCGAACTCCAATTTTGGGTGTTTTGTTTCCATAAAAACATTACGCAGTGATAATGCTCGGGAATATTTTTCTCAGCAATTTAATGAGTTTATGTCTTCTCAGGGTATTCTCCATCAATCTTTTTGTGCTTATACACCCCAACAGAATGGAATTGCCGAAAGAAAGAGTCGTCATCTTATTGAAACAGCACGAACATTACTTCTTCATAATCAAGTCCCGCTTCATTTCTGGGGGTATGCAGTACTTACTGCTTGTTTTCTTATTAACAGGATGCCTTCTTCTGTTTTACAGAATCAAAGCCCTCATTCTGTTTTGTTCCTCGAACAGGACCCCTTTCATCTGCGACTACTTCGTGTTTTTGGGAGTACTTGTTTTGTTCATGATCATACCCCTGGCAAGGACAAGCTTCAACCAAAGTCCATTAAGTGCATTTTCTTAGGATATCCTGGTCTTCAGAAAGGGTACAAGTGTTATGACCCAATCTTTTCCAAGTTCTTTATCTCCGCTGATGTTACTTTCTTTGAAACTACCCCTTATTTTTCTAAACAGCCAGAGCTTGAACAATCTGTTTCCAATGTTCTCCCCTTCCCTATTCTTCCTCCTCCAGTTACATTTCGTCCTCTTCAGATCTATTCTCGTCATCCTACTACTAACCTTGTTTTGAATGCAGATATACAGCCTAGTGACTCATCTCCTATTCCGATCTCATCTCCTGCACTGGTCGTGCCAAACACAAAGGCAGAAAATGCTCCCATTGTCCTTTGCAAAGGTATTCGCTTCACTCGTAATTCTCATCCTATTTACAATATTTTGAGCTATCACCGTTTATCTCCTTCATATTATGCCTTTGTCTCCACATTGTCTACTGTTTCTATCCCTAAGAGTGTTAGTGAAGCACTTAACCATCCTGGTTGGTCTGCTGCTATGACTGAGGAGATGACTGCTTTGCATAATAATGGTACATGGGAACTTGTTTCTTTGCCTCCTGGGAAGAGCACTGTTGGCTGTCGATGGGTTTACACGGTTAAAATTGACGGTTAAATTGGATAGATGGTAAAATTGATAAGTTGAAAAGCTAGGCTTTGTGGCAAAGGGGGTAACACACAGGTTTACATGGCCCTTGACTATAGTGATACTTTTTCCCCTGTGGCCAAAATAAGCCTCTGTTCGTCTCTTCTTTCTTTGGCAGCTATCCTATCAATGGCCTCTTCATCAACTTGACATCAAAAATGCTTTCTTGGGGCATGGGGGAATTGACCGAGGAAGTATATATGGAGCAACCTCTTGGTTTGTTGCTCAGGGGGAGTCTGGTTTGGTATGTCGACTACGTCGAGTCGTCGATCTCTCTATGGCTTGAAACAATCTCCACGTGCATGGTTTGGAAGATTTAGTGCTGTTGTCCAGAAATTTGGCATGCGTCGAAGTGACATTGATCATTCAGTCTTCTATCGGCATGGAAATCATGGGAAATGTACTTATCTAGTTGTTTATGTTGATGATATTGTCATAACTGGCAATGTCATGAAGGGATTTCTCAACTAAAGCAGCATTTATTCTGCAACTTTCAAACTAAAGATTTGGGAAAGCTAAAATATTTTCCTGGGATTGAGGTAGCACAGTCATTGAGGTAGCACAGTCCAAGATTGGAGCTGCAATCTCACAAAGAAAGTATGCTCTTGATATACTAGAAGAAACAGGTATGATGGATTGTAAACCTGTGGATACTCCTATGGATCCCAGTGTAAAACTTATTCCAGGACAGGGGAAGCCATTTAAAGATCCTGGCAGATATAGAAGGCTTGTTGAAAAATTAAACTATCTTACTATTACACGACTGGATATTTCTTTTGCTGTGAGTGTGGTTAGTCAATTTCTTCAGTCTCCATGTGATAGTCATTAGGATGGGATATTTCTTTTGCTGTGAGTGTGGTTAGTCAATTTCTTCAGTCTCCATGTGATAGTCATTAGGATGCTGTTGTTCGCATTCTGAGATATATCAAAGGAGCTCCTGGGCAAGGTCTGTTATATGAGAACAAGGGTCATTCACAAGTGGTTGGCTATTCAGATTCAGATTGGGCAGGTTCTCCCTCTGATAGACGGTCCATTTCTGGTTATTGTATCATGATTGGAGGAAATTTGATATCATGGAAAAGTAAAAAGCAGGATGTTGTGGCTAGGTCAAGCGCAGAAGCAGAGTATCGAGCCATGGCGTTAGCCACTTGTGAACTTGTTGGGCTCAAGCACCTTCTTCAAGAGTTGAAGTGTGGAGAAATAAAACAGATGACATTGATATGTGACAATTAAGCAGCACTCCATATTGCCTCAAATCCAATGTTTCATGAAAGAACGAAACATATTGAGATCGATTGTCATTTCATCAGACAAAAGATTGAGTCAGGATGCATATCTACTTCCTTTGTCAGTTCGAACGATCAATTGGTAGATATACTGACCAAATCTTTACGAGGACCGCGAATTGAATACATTTGTGGCAAGCTAGGAACATACATGTATGCTCCAGCTTGAGGGGGAGTGTTATGATTTGCTGCTGTAATTAGCTGCTGAGATTAGGAGCTAGAATTAGCTGATCATTAGCAGATTATTTGGGATCCTTGACTAGTTACCTATATTGTACATATGTAGTACTATTTATATCCCCAATTCTTGAGGGAATAATCAAGTCAATATTTCCTCTCATTCTTCTTCTTCACAATATCCACCTTTCTGGTGATACTTATTCGAAAATCTGCGACAATCTAGTAATAGTGCTTTTGCTTTTACTGTGTTACATAATTGATGTTGGGTAATTTATATTACAATTTGAAGTTTCCTAATGATAAAGTGTTTAGTGCTCATGCTTTGTTTTGTAAGACAACTGTGTAGTTCTACGACTAAATCATCCTTGAGGGATAACATGGGTTAACCTTTGTTGAGGAGATATGTTCTACATAAGTGAAGGCTGATGGCCACGATGGAAAGATATTTGTTATGGTCCCTTGATAACAATCTAGTTATGGGTCCATGGCGTAAAGGATCAGGGTGAGTGAGTGAAGGTTGGGAGAGGATTTTCTTTTTTCGACCTATGATTTTGAAAGCACAGGTTGACTAGAGAGAACCTTAAAACCTCTTGAGTTTGAAGTAATTAAAGTTTTTTGGATTTTAATCATGTCTTACTACAATTAAATACTCCCTCCATTCTTAAATACTTATCACATTTGTTATTTCACGTCCCTTAAGAAAATTATTTAATTTATTTAAGTTACAATAAATTCTTGAGGAATTGAATCAATCACTATTGGTCATATGCAAAAGGCAAAAATCGAAAATATAATTTATTATTTGTCAAATCCACAAATGTGCAAGTATTTGGAAACACAGTACTTTGTCAAATGTGACAAGTATTTGGGAACAAAGGGAGTACAATGGAAGGGATAACCACCTCCTACAAAATTGGTACCATAAGCAAATCTGGAGGAACACCATGGTAGGTAAGAAAATAACCAAATTAAACGAAATACTAATAACAAAATTCTGATAACTGACATCCACTATATACATCATGGACTAATATCATGGAAGCATCTTCTGACCTGGTCTTGGGCTTGCTTAATCTTAGAACCATGCATGAAACACTCGTAACTTTCTGTGTCCTGCTAACAATCTAATAATCCATTCGGATAGCTAGTCATTTGAAAATGATCGAACAATTGGAATTTGGCACCATGCTGTACTGGTGTGCTTTTAAGATTTTATACTTGAGACTCAAATCCAAATTCACATTCATTTCAAATGACTTAAATGAGTGAGTTTTCAAATGACTTAAATGAGTATCTACTATCTACCCAAATGGTCCTAAAGGAATATCAACTTGCAATAATCTTGTTTAATTCTTGGTGGATTCTCTTGGGGAGGAGTTTGAGAAGGCTTTTGCAATAGTTTGGGCTAGGGTTTCTATCTACCATGCAAAGCTACATGTTACTATCTAATGATAGCAGCAATGTCATAATCAAACAAAGTGGATTCTCTATGAATATTCCAGGTACTCAATTCTGTGAGTCTTATTCCCTTTCCTGTGATGTGGGTCTCCGAGGTGGTTTTCCTTCGATATTGAACCCTTAACCCTTGTTTGGTTTGCAAAATATCAGAAGTAATAGAATAACTATCTATTCTATTCTTTACTCTATAAAATTTGTGTTTCTATTATTTCATGAAATAATTACTCCACTTACTAAATTTGAATTAGAGTTAATAATAACTATTCATATGGAATAGTTCTACTCTTTTCCAATTTCCTGCTATTTTCTGAAATAAACAAGGCCCTTAATCTTTACAATGCTAATATGGTTAGAAGTGAGGTGCAGAGAACAAATGATAGGTTGTATTGGAGAATATTTGCTCGACATGCTATGCGTTCTTTTAGTAAAGCAAAGCATTGCTAGATTTAGATTGAATGATTTTAGTCTTAAAGATAGCTTTTGAACTTTGCATCTTCTTTTGCCTCCAATCAAAGTAAAAACACAAGAAAAGAAAAGAACAGTGGCCAGACGAGATTTTGTGTTAAGGTTAGCTGTAGCCTTGTAAATCAATAAATCAATGTACAGCAGATGCTCACTGTGATCTATAAAAGGAAATAAAAAGTCTGTCCACACGCTCGAAGTGATTTGTTCTTTCATTTTGGATTTGTACTACCTAGTTCAATCAACATATTTGTTGTTCAGCTTCTTGAGTGCTTTCTCTTTGCAGGAGGCAAGAATGGCAATTGAGCAGGTGGTATTTCCAAAAGGGGAACCGGTAGAGCTACTTCCGAGGTCACCTCAGATTATTTCAGTTCAGATGGACTTTATTCAAAAATACAATCTACAAGCAGAGAAAATTGGTACAGAGTCAGATGTACGTCTTCGCATCCTTCCATATCAGGATATGTTGGACGAAGGCCAGAAACGTAGTGAAACAGTTGACAGAGATATTACAGATATTGGGTCTGATGACTTCCTTGGTGCAAACAGTGACTTAAATGGATCACCGTACACTGAGAACAGGTTACCTCTTCTTCCTGATTAGTCCTGAACCTTATTTTTCCCCAGTGAGCTAGTCATGTTCATGCTTTATAACAGCCTTGATCTTGCTCTATTTTGAAAACTGTCACACGTTATAGTTGTACGCCTTGCACTGGGGTTTCCTGTCTGCTTGATTTTGCATATTACTGGTCCGCAGTCTGTCTTCATAGTTTGTACAGTCTCTAGAACTATGCAAATTTACAATTACAACCCCAGAGGTTCAAATCAAAATAGTCTGTGAAATCCATTAATTTAATGATATCAGCTCAAGCATGTTTTACATCAGATATGTGATCTTGTGTTCTTTGGCATTCAATATTACATTTTTGCTTTTATGTTGCCAAACCGAAGGGAAAGAAGATGGTAATGGAACATGGCTTTAGCTTTATGAAACAGATTTTCTCATATGCTTCTCAAATAGTGACCTGACGAAATTCAATTGTACAACTTGCATTTGCATTCATATTCATCAACTTGTAATCCACATGCTATTAAAAGGCATTCTTATTTCATCCTAACCTGTGACCTAACAAACGTGAGTTTCTATCAGCATTTCCATTCATTGGCTTTTGCTCTCATCTTACCTAAAAGATAAGTGTTTTTTGGTAGCCATTTGTACATAGTGCACATTTTCTTTTGGAAAACCTCATTTATCATGTACACTCACTAATCTCACTATAGATAAACCTAATTGGCCTTCTAGTTATCTTCTAAAATCCATCCTTGTCCTGAATTTAGTTACCTAACACTTCTTTTCATTGGCTTCATCTGCATATGAATTAAACATTGTGTAAAACATGATCTCAGATTGTCCTCAACTAGAGACTAATTGTCCTTGGTTAAATAATTCCAATTGCAATCATTAGTTTTTGGTGCATAAGACTTAACAATACTAAAAGTCATTCTCTCATCTTTCATCAACTAGTGACCTAAAATTGTAAATGCTTTATGGTATGGAATGTTGGGTCGGATTTTGAAAAGCCACAAGTTAGAAGAATAATTATTTGTCTAACACACTACTACACTAGCTATCTTTTATAGCTTTGTACTGAATTGACCTAAATTGCATTATAGGACTTGCTGTTCATTCATTGGATTTTGATGCACATGACAACCACTGCAAAAGAGATTTTGTACTCTTATCCTTTAAGCTGACCTAACAAACTTCAATTATATATCATCCACATCCATAAAGAAAGGCTTTCTGTCATCTTGTCTTCATCTACTGACCTACATTTTTCTTGCTTTTTGTTTGAAACTTTGTCTTTGCATTTAGATGCCTCAACATGCAAGTAGTGCATTCTGCATGTTGTTTACGGACTAATTTAGGGGGTTCTATTACTTTTTGATTGGCTATGGTGATCTCAGTTTGCTCTATCTTTTAAAGTTATGATTTGTTCTTAAGAGAACTATTGTTCCTCTAGAGTAACTGGATGTAACATTTACTTGCATGGTAGGCAATATTTATACAGAACAATAGAAATTATTTTGTGAACTCTTGCAATGCACTTTTAGTACTCATAAATGTAGAATTAGTATTTTGATGCAATGCATTGAATTTACTGAATAATTTCCCCTTTTTGAGACATCATTATATATATATATAAAGGAGTAATATGGAGAAGTGTTGTATGTTGGCGTGACGCTTTATTTGGGAGTGAAACTCTCTATAATTTGAGTCTTGAATTAACATGGTTAGGAAAAATTGAAGATTTTGTAGAGAAAATGTCTCTTGATGTTCTCTAATAGTTTTTATGGATTTTAAACACAATAGCTCTTTAAAAAAAATTAGCTCTCTAATTTATGAGTTCTATGACGCTTAAACATAATGGTTTTTGGTGTTCTTTTTTCTCTGAGTATTGGGGGAGGCACTTACACTAGACTATGCCTTGGTGTGTAATTTTTTGTGTTTTCTCTTATTATGATTTATGAATTTTATGTCTTTTATAACTTTAAAAATAATCGCTTTTAGTATTTTTTTTTTTTTATTACGGCTCTTGAATATTGTTGTTCATGTTTTTACTATTGTTTTCTTTTATCGGATTTCTTCTTTTTCTCTTTTTGAGAAAAATACTGTGTAGCCGTGCGAAGCAAGGTAGACCTCTTAGTTATTGAAAAAATTTGGTGCATGTGCCCCTCTCACATTTATGTGGGATTTACCCCTCCATAATATAAGGTGAATTATTTCCATTATGTGATAATATCCAATAATTTCACATCTCAAGAATTTGGTGACAAAATCTAACCAAAATGAGAACTTTTGAAAATTTTGAAATTATGACTTATGCTCGGGGTTGAGCAAACGGTTTAGTTAACTGAAAATCGAACTAAAGTGATTTTATTCAAGTAATTTACTGTTGGGGTAATTTAACAAATGTCATATATGAGGTTTCAATTTTAATAAAATGTTAAAAAGGATATTTATTAAGATAATAACAAATTCGGTCAAAGAAATTTTAATAGTACTAAAATTGACCTTGCAAGAGAAACGAGAAACACTGAAATAAGGAAATACTAAAAAAAAAAAACAATGCTGAAAATGGAAATGCTGAAAATGGAAAATGTTGGAAGAAGGAAACAAGGAAATGCCGAAAAAAGGGAAACACAAAATTTGTAAGAGCAAAACGCTGAGAAAAAAAAGGAATGCTAAAAAAGTGAAACGCTGAAAGAAGGAAACAAGGAAATGCTGAAAAAAAAAGGAAAACACGAAATCTATAAGAGTAATCTCTATATAGTTTATGTGATTCAACCACGATAACGATGACTGATGATGACAACTGACGATCTGACAGCGGCAATAACGATGGTAAATATGATATGCATGATATATATGGCCTGTGTGTATATATATATATTAGTAAATATAGTGTGTGTATATATATACTGTATCAGTAAATGCTATAAAATCAATTAAATACAGAATAGATATATGTACATCAATTAACACATTGGATCAAACCACGTAAATATAGTGTGTATATATATAAAGCAATGTAAATGTTCCTCGAAAAAGGGTAATATTCTTATTACATCTTAATTATTTTTGTAAGAGGCAAAACGCTGAGAAAATTAAAATAGGTATATTGCTAATTAAAAGTGAATTTATGTTTTTTTTTTTTTTTTTTTTTTATTGTTTTTTTTTTACGGCTGAATAGAGAGAAACTAAGTGAATTGTCTGAAATAACAGGAAAACAGAATCTATAAGAGTAAATCGGTCTTAATATTATTATGTTTTAATGTGATTTCAACTCTTTCTGAGAACGTATTGACAATTAGATGATGGACAACTTGACGAATCTGACAGCTTTTTTGTGCTATATTTATTTTGAGCATGTGTGGTATTATGATATTTTGCCATGTTATTATTAGTTGAGTGTGCTCTGTTGTGGGATTATTAGTATGGATTAGTTAGTTAATGATGGTTTAAGTTTGGGTTTTTTTAGGTGGTTTGGTGTAAGGGGAATGGTGGAATGTAGATAATATGGAAAGATTAAATGGGAGTTTTTTTTTTGGGAGGAGATAAGAGTTATTTTGCCTTTTCTTTGATTTGTGTGGTGTGTTGTTGGTTGAGTTTTCAGTAATATGCTATGGGTGGTAGATATTTCCATTATATACTAGAAGATAGATATAGGTTTGCGTTTTTTGTTTTTATCATCAATTGGTAACACAGTTTTGGTTTATCAAACCACGTAATATATAGTGTGTGATATATATATATATATATGTTTATATATTTGCGGGGGTTTTTATATTATTAGTATATTTTTATTTATTTTTTTATTGTTATATAATTTATAAGTTTTTGTAGGTAGGGTATGTTGGGGGTTATTATTTTATGTTATGAGTTTTATTTATTAGGGTATCTTGTATTATGGTTATTAGGGTATTTTATTTTTATTTTTTATATTAATTGTATGTATGGTAGTGAGAGTAGGTTAGTGGGAGGTTTCAGTATCAATCAAAATAGAATTTGAGAGTATTATCTTATCCCTATAGTATTTATTCCAATGATTGGTGTTGTTTATTTTTTGGGTTTTTTTTGTTTTTTTTTGTTTTTTGTTGTTGTTTTTATGTTTTTTTTTTTTTTTTGATTGGTTGTGGTGTTTTGTGTGGTGTGTTTTTTTTTTTGGAGTATTTTATTTTGTTGTTGTTTCTGTGTTTGTTGGTGTGGTTGTTTGTTTTTTTGTGTTTTTTCGTGTTTGATCGTTGGTTTTTTTTTTTTTTTTTGTTGTTTTTTTTTTTTGTGTTGTTTTATGTTGGGTTTGCGTTTTGTGGGTTTTTTTTGGTTGTTTTTTGGGTGGGTGTTTTTTTGTTTTTTTTTTTTTTTGGTTTTTTTTTTGTGGTGTTTTTTTTTGTTGTTTGTTGGTGGTTTTTGATTTTTGTTTTTTTTGTTTGGTGGTTTTTTTTTGGGTTTTTTATTTTTGTGTTTTTTGTTTTTTTTTGTAGTGGTTTTTTTTTTTGTGTTTTTTTTGCGTTTTTTCGGGTTTTTGGTTTTTTGGTGGTTTGGTTTTGTGTTTTTTTTTGGTTGGTGTTCTTTTATGTTATGTTGTTGGTTTTGGTTAGTGGTTTTGTGTTGGGTTTTGTTTTGTTGTTTTGTGTGGTTTGAGTTTTTTTTTTTTTTTTTGGGTTTATGTTTTTTGGTGTGGTTGTGTTTTTTTGTGTTTTTGGTGTTGTTTTTTTTGTTGGGTTTGTGTTTTGTAGGCGTGTTTTGTGGGTGGCTGTTTTGGTTTTGTTGGTTTGTGTGTTTGGTTTTTTATTTGTGGTTTTGGTTTGTTCGGTGTTTTGTTTGTGTTTTTGTTGTGTTGGTGGTTTTTTGGTTGGGTTGGTTTTGGTTTTGGGTTTTTTTTTGTTGGGTTTTTGGGGTTTTGGGGGGGGTTTGGTTTGGGTTTTTTTTTTGTTTGGTTGTTTGGTTTTGTCGTTTTTTTTTTTTTTGTTGGTTTTTTGTTATTGTTTATTGTTTTTTTTGTTTTTTTTTTTATTTTTGTGTGGGGTTTTGTTTTTGGTGTTGTGTGGTTGTGGTTGGTGGTTTTTTTTGGTCGTCTAGGGGGTGGTTTTTGTTGGGAGGTGTGCGTGGGCGGTTGGGGGTTTTTTTTTTTGGTTTTTGTGTTTGGTTGGTGGGGTATTTGTTTATTTGTGTGTCTTTTTTTGTTATTGTTTTTTGTTTTTGTTTGTGTTGTGTAGTTGTTTTTGTGTTGTTTGGTTTGAGGGTTTTTTTTTTGTTGTTTTTTTTTGTTTTGGTTTGTTGTGTTGGGGTTGTGTTTGTTTTGTGTTGGGGGGGGTTGGGCTTTTGTTGTGTGGTTTTTTGGTGGTTTGGTGTTGTTGTGTGTTTGGTTTTGTTTTTTTGTTTTTTGTGGTTGTGTTGTGGTTTGTGTGTTTCTGGGTCTTATTTTGGTTTTTTTGGTGTTTTTTTTGCGGTTGTTTGTTTTTTTGGGGGGCTCGTGTGTGGTTTTGGGGTTTTTGGTTTGTTTATTTTTTGGTGTGTTGTTTGTCGTGGTGGGCTTGTTTGTTGGTTGGTTGGTTTGTTGGTTGTTGTTGGTGTTGTGTTTTTTTGTCTTTTTGGTGGTTTTTGTGGTTGTTGGTTGTGTTTTATTTTGTTTGGTGGTTTTGTTTTGTTGGTGGTGTTTTGGGGTTTTCGTGTGTGTTTTGGTTTGTTTGTGGGGTGTTGTTGGGTGATCGGTGGGGTTTTATGTGGTCTGGTTTTTTGGGTTGTTTTTGTTTTTTTCGTCTCTTTTTTTTGGTGCTTGGGTTGTGGTTTTGGTTTGTTTAGGTTTGGTATGGGTTTATGGTTTTGGGCTTTTTTGTTATTTTGTGTTGTGTGGTGTACTGTTTTGATCTGTATAAAAACACTGATAGATGGATGAGCTTTGTTCAACAAGATAAATAACAAATCAAAAATCAATAAATCAATTTAATACTATTATGAATAGAAAAAAATGAAACTATGGAAGCAGACTATAGGTGAGGTGCTTTGAGGTTTGGGTTTTGTGGTTGGTTTTTTTGTGTGGTTGGGTTTATTGGTTGATTCGGTATATGTGTGTTGAGTTTCTTTTATAGTTTAGGTTGTTGTGGGGTTTATATGGTTTTGATTATCCCTATATATCAGTATCAATCCAAATAGAATTGAGAGTATTATCTTATCCCTATAGTATTTACTGATTGTATAAAACACTGATAGAGATATTTTCAACAATAAATAACAAATCAAAAACAAAAATCAATATACTTTATGAATAAAAAAATGAAACTATGGAACAACACCAATAATGAGAAGAATGACAACAAAATGCGAAAGAATGATAAGAAAATAATGAACGGTAGCAAAATGAGAAAGAATGGATAAGAAAATAATGAGGGCTGAAAAAAAATGGCAGCAGAAAAATATTAACATACTGAAAAAAGGAAACAATAGTGAAAATATAAAATGAAACACTAACATATTAAAACACTGAAATATTAATAAATTAATGCCCACCAATAATAAAGGGCACAATAATAAAGATATATCGTAAATGATAATAATTTAAATCTTAAAATTAAATTGACATTTTTTCAAATTAAATTTTAAAAACTGACATTTAGTATAATATTCCTTTATTTTTTTTAACATTTTAGTATAATTTAAATTTAATTTTATTAAATTTTGGTTATTTTGGTTTAGTAAGGTTTCAACATAAAAAATAAGATTACGGAACTGAATGTAATGTATATAAAAAATATTGGTTTCACAGCACTCGTTGAGTGACATCTTAAAATTTTATGTTATCTTATTAAGTTATCGTTTGGTTTAAAATAATCTATTTTATGAGTAATATACTTTTTAAAAAATACACTTGGAAGGAAATTATTCCTAAAAAGTATTATTTTAATGTGTTTGATATGTAAATCAACTTTTTGAGAAGTACATTACTCTTAAACTACATATTATAATAACATTTATAATATAAATTTGAGTGTATTTAGATAATATGATAAAATGATAAATTCACTTAATTAGGAAAGTGCAACTTTATAGTCATCTTTAAGGAACTTATTTCTCTTGTATGAGGAAAGTTGGATATGCAAACCAAACACAAACACTTCATGTACTTTTCAAGAAGTTACTGCTCACTAATCTATTTATCCCTGGCCAAGCATAATCTAAGTCCTTCAAATTTGTTAAATTACATTTATTAAAAATATTTCAACTTATAAAATTGCATCTAATGAATACTTTAACTTATAAAATCATGCTCGATCAACACTTAAATATATTTAAGTAACTAAAAATATTAAAAAGGATTTTATAAATGAAATTCATATAAAGTTAAATTTAATAAATGTAATTTTATAAATAAAATATTCAATAAATATAATTTTAATAATTGAAAAATTCAGCGGATAAATCTAAAAGTTGAAATCACCCTTAACCACTAGATTGTTTTTTTTAAATATCAAGTGTTAATTTATGTATTGAGCTATCCATTTTGTGGCTCCATCAATTTCAATAATATAATATATGTACTGAAAAAACAAAAAAGCATTTAATTTAACCTTTGTGGCTAGAAGAGCCAGAGCATATATGCACTTTTGATGAATAGTGACCCAAGTCGGTCCAAAAGACAAAACCTAGAAGCTGGATCCTACCTAGAAAGGCAGCCAGCCACAGAAAGCCTACTTCTTGTCTTGTTATAGATTAGATAATGTCACAATAACTTATATCTGTATATAGAAAAAATTAGAGTATGATTTTTATGGTTGGCGAGTTATAATTAATTATTTTTATTTTTTAAAAATATATTAATTTTTTTATATTTTATATTTTATATTTATTATATTATTAGATTATTTTATTTTTTTTTGTATTTTTTGTTAAATTAATAAAAAATATAGAAATTAAACGAGAGATATTAAAATATTATATAAAAAATTACAGTATAGTTTTTATAATTTAAAAAATATAATTATTCTGCTTCTGTATTTTTTAAAATATACCAAAGTTGAAAAAATAAATGTATATTTTCGTCATTTCATAAAGTATTTAACGGAAAAAATGTAAAAATTTGACAAAATAACTCTATAGTTTGACGGAAATAAATCATAATTTTTTTTAAAAAAAAAAGGAAAATATTAATTATATTTAGCAAATACCGTACTATAATTTTCCCTTTATAAAACACTTATAAATTCACGTCTCTTTCTAATTACATTCTAGCATTTAGCATTACATAATTTCATTCTCAAGTCAATCAATATTTTATGGCTCAGATGAGAATGGAACACTAAGTACAGTCCTTTTGAGGTCCACTCAACTACCTTTAACTAACTTTGCAAGATTATTTTTAAGTAATTTCATAGTAACAAGGAAAAAAAAAAAAAGAAATAAAGAAAGATATTATCACCGGCCGAAAGGCATTATATGTATAATTAAAGTCATCCAATTTAGTGTTATCTCAACATTGCAATAAGTACAACGTAGTGTTGACATATACATTTAAATTTTTTTTCTAAATGTTTTAGATAAATTCGATGTAGATTTCATTCTTCTATTAGAATATGAAAATAAGATATTATTAAACGGTATTATTTAATTGAATATAGATCAACTCAATTTGATACTAAGTCAGATCAGTGTGTCTTTTACTCAAAAAAAAAAAAAAATCCGACATATTGTATAAATCATCTAGAATGACTTTAAATAATTTATTTCATTGTAGAATATAATAATATATTTAATCTTCATCTATAAAATAAATAAATGCTCATATTATACCAATATTTTCCACTAGCATATTAGGAAGGGAAAATACATGGAATTGTCCTATTTAAGAAAAGACAATCATTCTAATCCTAATTTTTTATTTTTGGGAAGTAATGGAGCACCAAACATTAAATTGATAAACAAATAATTGACTTGCTTGAGGATAATAAAAAAAGTTTTCTTTTCTTTAAAATTTTTAGGATAAACTAGCTCATGACCTTTTTGTACAACTTCAGCATTTTATTACATGCAACTATTGTTATATAATAAACATAATTCCACTTTTTATCTACCCATGATTGCAAGAAAAAGGTTGCTACCAAAAACCTAATAAGGGATAACTTGACAAAAAAAAAAAAAATCCAAAACTATCTCATCAATTACAACTCATTGCCCCCACAATACTTGATATATTAGTTCACAAAACAAAATAGGAAATTTATTTGGATCGGGCCCATGATTCTATTTATAAATAAAACCAATAAAGTTAAGGATTATTATTGAAATGAGTGTATTTCTGCCATATACGTGGAAAAAAAAAAGATAAAGTCAGAATACCTTTTAAAAAATTCTTAGTTTCATTTATTTGGTACGTAAATGGGACCATAGACTTGTTCTAAGTAAGTTTTTTCTCAAACGCAAGAGGCTTATATTTAGAACATCCCAGGATTAAATTAAAATATTTATTTTCTTCCAAAGTTGATATTCTCATACATAACAATAATACACTATTCTTTCAAAAAACATAATACACTACTGTTTTATTTCACGGATAAATGGCAAGTGCCAACTTCTTCTTGATCAAGACTTGCCAATGCAAGGATGATGTAAACCTAGACGATAACTGAGAATTACGTAAATAAGAACACGTGTGTCTTTTCCTGAAAGGAAAAAAGAAAAACGAAACTGGCAAATAACTATTGGCTGGGTGTAAGAGGAATAGATATACACCCAATAAATAGATAGGTATGTTCCTCGAACGAAAGGAAAATATTAGAAATACCGATCCTATTGTAAAAAAGGACCTAAATGAAGTCAAGAAGAAGAAGAAGCAGCAAAGATTTAGCTAGTGATGATGAGGATCAGGGCCTCCAGGACTAATTCTAAGAGATTGATTGAAACCTCCAACCATTTCTTGCCTCCTTAAGCTTTCTTTCAAAACCTCTTTAGTACTTTCTATCAATGACCGGTTGATCTTCTGATTTGATGCCATAGGCATTGGACGAGTTTCAATTCTTGAAAATGAAATCAAGATCAAGAAAAGACATAACAGAAACTTCTTACTGTTATTAGCCATTGTCTCTTTATTGTCTTTTCTTGAATAGTTTGAAAGTAAATTGCTCTAGCTAGTTAATGGTGATGAGTATAGAGGATTCTGATATATATAGGGAGAGAGCTTTCAAAGCTGCCCACCATTTTCTTCATTTAAATATGGAATTTCATACAATGGCATTGCACTTTGGTGATCACTTATACACAGAGCAACACATGTTTCCCTTTTCTTTTTGTCTTATGCCCTTTCTTTGACCTCTTTGAAATTTAGAGGGTTAGTAAAAAAGGGATCGCTACTTATTTTATTCTAATGTCATCTTTTTATTCTTTTTCTTTCTTTTTTTTTTTTTTCAGTTAGAATTATGAGATATCCCTCCACCCATTTTTGGTGTGGACATCCTGATTTGGATCATTCAGAGTAAATATTTTTTTGTTCTTTCAATGCACTTTTTAAATATTGAATTTGTATTTTCACATTTACGGATATTGAGTGTGCTTATGGTCCCAACTATTATCTTGTCAATTATTCTTAATCTTTTAGCATCCCTTTTCAAGCACTTCATTTTATCTATTTTTTTATTCATATAATAAAAAATTCATAATTAGAAAAATAAATTTTTACTATTCAATTTCAAAAAAAAAAAAAATTATCATATTTTACCTATTAATTTATCTTCTTCACTTTGATTTTGGCCTCCCTCTAACATTTATTTTCTTCTTTTATTCCAGGTACTTTTCGTTCTCTCCTCCATCCACCTACAATTTCCTAACTTATATTTTTGTTACTATTATTTTTTTTTCATCATCCTATTAATTTTTCATTTTGGTCCCTCTTCCAACTTTACTTTGACTTTGGTTTCATTTTTTAAATTTTATTATAATAATTAAAATTTTATGACTTTTCAATTTTTATTTATATAGATAAGATTAATCTACGATTAAATCGAGGATAATATTTAAGTAAACATGTTTCAACAATCGCGCAAATTGATTACGAATCGAGAAGTTGCAAGTTAAGCTTTTTAACCTCTCCTTTTGATATGCTCGTTGGAACTAATGATATTCAAGCATATGATGACAATGTGAAAATGAATGTCCACTTACATAGCATAAAGGAACTTAACTTTTTTTTTTTTTTTTTTTTTTCCTCTCCTTTTGATATGCCTCGTTGGAATAATGATTTTCAAGCATAGAATGAACAATGTGAAAATGAAATGTCCACCTTAAATAGCAATAAAGAACTTAACTTTTTTTTTTTTTTTTTTTTTTTTTAATGAATATGACCATAGAGAAACTTAAATTTTTTTTTTTTTTTTTTTTTTATGAATATGAGCATAGAGAAACTTAAACTTGACGAATATTGAAAAGGCTGCTTTAGGAAAATTTCGGCTATCTAAATCATTCACATATGTTAGGTTCACACTCCCATTGGTAGACTGATGATTATGGTTAAATGTGAAACCGGCTACTTACTAAGGAGGTTTGAATTTATCGAGAGATTAAAATTGTATAAACTCATTTTATGGTCCATTTATAGATTAAACCAATGAAAATATGGATTTTTTAAAAAATTATTCCTATTTTATATTTTTTGGTAAATGATTAGAAATATTTTTGTTTCAGTAAAAAATTATTTTTCATTGGTTTAGCAAGTGGATCTATAGAATGAGTCTAACTTTTTTTCGGTGGATGATAAGAATTATTCTTATTCTATTTCTATTGTACTTCAGTATAAAAAAATAGCAAAATATGTCAAAAGTAATTACTAACGATAAAAAAAATACTCCTAATTAATATTTTCGTTTCAATTATTAATTATTTTTTATTGATTTAGTCGGTGGATCCATAGATTTTTTTTTTTTTTTTGAGGGGATCCATAGAATTATTTTACTTTAGCATATTTTACTAAATAGATATTTTTAATAAGAGCATTTTTAGTCTTTTTATTCAAAATTAACAGCAAGAAGTACAAATTTTTAATCAAGGGACTTATTAGTCCAGTGGGAGCAAACTATTGGAATAAATTGATATACTTATTAAAAGATAGGTAAATAGTCAATTTCATCAAATTAGAGAGACTAAATAATAATTTACCATCATAATTAAATCACCTAATAAGGACATCTATATTATAAATTAACATAATTTATATTGTTTTCTTAATATTTTTTTTTATGTTTAATGCCCATAAATGTGCACATAAGTAACTATTCAATACATTCAAAATTCTCATAAATTATTTTTAAAAAACGTATAGGATATAGTGTGCCAAAAGAAAAAAAAAAAACATACTAAAGAAGAACTAAAATTGAAATTTGCATACACAAAATTTGTGTTTATCTATTACATAAAGTTTTGCAACCTTGTTAACAAATGCAAGGTTAACTTGTTGAGCATTTTAATTAACATATTCCTATATGTTAACCTAATTTCCAAGAAAGGAATATCCTTGTGATATATCTAAGCCAACCCATTTTCTGAATTTGGTATATCTTCTTGGAAAGGAAGTTTATAATTTCTACATAGTCAAACAAGGGTTGGTGGAAAGGCCAATTAAAATTCGAATAGATTCTGATTATGATGATGATTTTGAATGAGGTTGGACGGTCTTTCTTTCAAAGCCAACTAATCTTTTGTTTGGATAGGAGAGAGAGAAAAATATTGGAGAAAAGAAAATAATAGATGAAAATAATGATGAATTGCTATCTTCCTTTTTATATTTATTTTTCACACTTGTGTTTGAACATAATGAAGAAAAGAAACTACAGTTATTTTCCTTTGTTTGGAAAGGAAAAAACTTTAGAGAAATATAAATATTATTTTTGGAAATTGACGATTATCTCCTTAAATTATGAGATATTTAAGAAATGGTTAAAGTTTATTAATTAAATTAGAGTATTTGAATAATTTAATAAAAATGAGTGGAAGTTCTACTTTCCTCCATTATTTTTTTTCCAAATTAGAGAGGTTCAAAACATGAACGGCTGAGCGGAAAATAAGTAAAATATTAATTTCTCTAATATTTCCTCTTCTTTCCCAAACAAGGAAAAACACTATTTTCTAGATATTGTCCATAGCTATTTTTCCTTCCTTCAACAAAATACACCCATCCACACAAAAAGTAATATATATGCAAGAATTTAGAGATTTTGGAAGATATATATATATATATATTAGAAGAAAGATATACCTTAATTACCTTAACAAAGTGTGAATGTATTGATTGTGAAGCGAAAGGATAAAGAAATTGTAAATCTGTTTTTTTTTAGATTCTCTTTAATATCTAGGTTGTCGAATCATAACAAATGGTATTAAAATTAAAGATTTGGGAAATAAATGTAAAATAGAAAAACATACTTGGTAAAAACATGAATGTTTCTTTAAGGAATAAATTGGAACAAATTATAAAATAAATCAATTTACTTTTTTTATATATTAAAATTTAAATAAGTTACACATAGGATAACTGTATCGTTGAGAATTTTCTTACTCTATCTAATATTTTCAAAGGCATATATCTTTTGATGAAATCTCAAATTTTAGTTAGTGAATGTTGTCCAATAGATTAAAACATTTTAATTTTGGAGATATTTGTTTAAATTATAAATGAATTAAACTGTTCATAAGCACTACCCACGATTTAAAAAAATCACTCATTCAAATTTATTTGATAAATTTAATAAATTAAGATGAAATGAATTTATCAAACCCGAACTTTATAACGAGACATACCAATCATCTCAATAATAAAGTTTGTAAGCTAAAATCATTTTTGATTTTAAATTATATAAATCAAGTTTCCGGTCGTATATAAGCTATTTGAGTCAAGCTCTAACAAAGTTAACTCTATTTTTAATAAGTAAACTTAAGTTTTTAAGGGTCACATATTCAATTTGCCTAGATTTCAATTTTATAGCCATTTTGTTATATTAATCGGTCAAAAATTGTCAAATTACCCACAATTTGACTTGAATCTCTTGCATGCTTCACACGTTGTCAACACGAGAAGAAAGAAGTTTTAAATATTACTTTTTTTAATAGCCAATGGTTAGAACAATTTTGACTCTTAAATCGTCAAGTACATCGTCTCATTCAATTGCACATCTCATATTGAAGAGAAAATGCGACTGAAGGAGCAGAAAAGCACGAGTCCTGATTCTCGACTATTGTCCTCAGCTAAAATGGATATCAAATGTCTGATATTGAGAATCCAGGTAGAAGATTCTACTCTGTTAAAATCGATTTGTGACTGTTATTCTGAGCTGAAATGGAATTAAAAACCTCTCCACATATGCTCTGTTTTAACTTGTTATGTTGGAGCGCTCAAATATCTTCTTTAAATTATGTTTCTTCCGTTAAGAAGAGAGAAACGCTTGCACACGTACTGAGGTCAATTCTAAACTTGAAATTAAGAAACTAAGTTCAGATCAGTTCAATTCCTCTGCACCTCCATTCTTACAATAATTTTTATATATCTATAGGTCCAGCTATTTTATATTCATTCAAATTGAGAGAAATTAATATTTTAGAAATACTAAAATTATTAGCAAGTAATTTTTTTAATTGCTCCAACAACACAAAAAAAAAAAAAAAAAAAAAAAAAAAATATTAGCAAGTAATTTTTTTAATTGCCTCCAAACAACACAAAAAAAAAAAAAAAAAAAAAAGAATAACATAAATGTTCACCAAAAAAAAAAAAAAAGGTTTATGAGTTATTTTCAACGAAATGGACAAAGCCTTTTGCGCGAGTGTCAAAGATTAAACAAAAACAAACATGTCAAAAGAAAAAGGAAGAAGCTCAAAAGAAAAATTAAAAAAAGAAAGTTCACCAAGGAAGTGTGCATAACAGACCAATAGTAAACAAACATGTCAGCACATGAAAGCAAAGATGACAAGGCTGACATGGATCCTTGACTTGGTGATCCTTGCACTATGGCCACCCAATCACTAACAAATTGTTGTCCTCTAATATATATATATTTTTTAAAATATAATTTATTAATAATATTATGAATTATATAGAAGTATACCGTTAGTAGCTAATAGAATTTGCTGATTTTCATAGCAGTAACTATTCCGTTAATTGATTTGGATGACAAA